TGTCATTTGTGCCGATATTTATCAACAACAAGTTATATTTCTCTCTTTATCTCATTAGTTTATAACTTATAAATGTGATATACTCTGATAATATATCACTTGTTTTAAACAACCTTTTCCACAATATAAACATCAATTTGTCCTAATGGGTGTACGCTTTGTATCCTGAAATCATCATTACCGTCGACATTTGTACTCCTGCTATCTGTTTGCCTGATTCGAAAAGAAGAAAGAAATATTAACGAAATATGTTTAAATATAAGAGAGAAGTAGGCTATAGGATGATAGTTCTTCTCTCCCCATTAGAATATTTTCCGTTTGGTCAGAAGAAAACTCCTAATATCCCGAACACGGACTGTTCAAGCGTACTAATTAAAAAAACGTAGGCCCGTAACGTTTTGTGAAATTGATAGCTCTTCAGCCGAGTAATATACAGAGTACGTTTTTGTAGCTTAAAGACTTTTCTTTCAAATAATAATTAAGTAAAGTCTAGCTCTAACCCAAACACGGTTGTTTATAATTAGTATCGCCGCCAAAATTTAGTGTCCGCCGATATCTTTTGAATAACTTTTTAACCAAAAGAGCTAGCGACCTACTGTTTTCGCCATTCGAAAGAGGACACTGGGGCACGTATGTCCATATGGAAATGAGAGTTTTCTGAAAAGTTTTCTAGCGTAAGTTTTTCAGGCGAAAAATAGGAAAATTAGCATATTTTCCGAAAAAACTTTTTTTCTTTTTTCCGCCAGTTTTGTAGAGCTCGTAAAAAGATGAGTTAACAGAGTTTTTTTTAAAAAAGTAATTTTTCTAAGTGACACGGCAAAATATGCGGTTTTTTCAAAAAACTTTGTTAACTCATCTTTTTCGCCTCATCATTCAAGACTGAAAAGTCATTTTTATATGCTAATAATAATCTTTTAAATAGAAGAAGTAACAGGATCTCTCAGATTCTTCTCCTTCACTTTCACTAGGCCTCTGGGATTCGAACTTCGATATAAATAAATTTGAGGTATATCTCTATCGACATTTGCTTCACATATGTCACATTTCTTTCTTTACAGAAAGAGAGAAAAGAGAACAGTTATATGTTCTCGCATTTTGTTCTTGTACTGAAGAAATGATGGAGCAAAAAGAAGAAAATGAGGAAGTATCGTCTACTGTATATGAAAATGGATGGTAGAGTAGCCTAAAAGTGTAAAGATATCTTGAATTTAACGAGCGGAAACAGATTAATATCAATTAGAAACTGCTTATAGAAACATCCACTGTGGCAGAGAACGGTTATCATTGATTCACGAAAGATATACCACATGTCTTTTCATTTCTTTTTATTATATCTGAATTTTATACTGGTGTTTTACGCACGTTTACATCAATATTGAGCCATCCCACAAATGAAATGTTAGTTTCGTAACACGACTCTTCCGCGAATGGAAATGTGGTGGCAGTAAGCAGCGTGAGAATGAGTGTGAAAGAAATTCATTCGCGGAAAAAGTTTACGGAAGAGTTGGTATATCTTCAGTGCATACATTCTCCGCTTAGAATCATAGACAGTAGAATCGTATGGACAGTATCAAAGATTTTGAGTACATTTTTCTCATGATCTTATCCATTATACATCGAACGAATGAGTACATATTCTATAGTCTATACTCATCGACTACAAAATTATCAAAGAAACAGAAACAAAATCAAAGAAACGATTTTCAGTAGAAATGATATGTATTAAAACGCTTATACATCACGCTTATAAATCGTTCCGTATTCTGTCGAAGACATTTTCTATTCTCACAATCTCACTGATTCGGAAGAAAAACTACAAATTTTCAACTGTTTTTCCCGTTTAGCTGCCTGAAATGGTTCTCTGGACACCTCAATGGAAGAATGAGCTATATTCACATTCTAGTAGGGATTTTTTGTTTGAGATCAAAAGACTTGAAAGCTGATCGTATAGACTACGTGTATTGTATGTGCAATGCAAGAAAACCGTATCGAGATGTAGCGATCTCAACACGACATGAATATGATTCATTATTATAATGGTTATTGCAAAGACACCTAATTTCAAAAAGTATGGAATCAACGAGATTCAATTTTGGATCAATTCAACGGCTTGTCCACGTAACGGAACACTTCGCTGATCAAGTTTATGAAAAAAATTATTTCGATATCGAAAGTTTTGAAGACATGATTAGATGCAGCTTTTTATTCTAAGAACCAGTTTGAAACTCGGTTTTCAAAAAAGTTCATTTTTCATCCAAAAATCTGGTTTTGAACTTTTCAGAAACCGAATTTTTAGTGTTTTAACCAAAAACATTTTTTAAAACAAATTTCTAAAAATATGCCTTTGTGAGAATTCCATTCTCTACAAAATGGCGTATTTGCTTTTCAGTTTACTAGCTATGTATAATTGGTACATAGTTGTACAGTTTCCGACTTACTGTCCAAGTTTTAAGCTCTTATTTTGATACAAGAACTTGATTTTTGCGCAGTTCGATCAAATATAACAAAGAACTAAGAATCTTTTTCCCTAGCGAAAAGCGCTAGAAGAAATTTCTGTAACGTCGTGACGTAACACTAAAATCCTTCTCAAAGCCCAATGCAACATCCAACAAACTTGGTTTTCATAGCATAAGTAGAGCATGATGAACTGCGTCGATTGATCTTTGAACGAACTTTCTAGCTACTTTATTTCCCGAGATAACCAAAGTTTAGTGCGCCAAAAACGTAACGCCGTGACGTTTGGACAAGCCGTCAATCTGAAATCTGCAGTGCATCTCATTGTAATAGACGTTTTTCTGTTCACGGAGTATTACTTAGAAAATAACAACAACTGGTCTGGATAGGATATGTGACTAGTCTGTTTTCTTACAAACTGACCTGTATGCCATTACATAAAAGCCTGTGACTCTTATGAAAGTTCTATTTATAAGCCAGATATGATGGACTTGTCTATCTAAAGTCAACTTTTACGGAAGTCCGTAACGTTTTGTGAAATTGATAGCTCTTCCAACTATTTTTCGCCTGAAAAACTTAGCCTAGAAAACTTTTCAGAAAACTCTCGTTTCCACATAGACATACGTGCCTCGGCGTTCTGTAAAGAAAGAAATGTGACATATGTGAAGCAAATGTCGATAGAGATATACCTCAAATTTATTTATATCGAAGTTCGAATCCCAGAGGCCTAGTGAAAGTGAAGGAGAAGAATCTGAGAGATCCTGTTACTTCTTCTATTTAAAAGATTATTATTAGCATATAAAAATGACTTTTCAGTTTTGAATGATGAGGAAAACGTTCAACGCAACAGAAGACCGTCAAGGTTTTGAGTTGGCAGACAAAATAAAAGATCATCTGGTCTTCTATTACTAATGGAGTTGATGCTATTTCACTCAATTGAGACGGCTCATCCTCAAGTAAAATATTCGGTTTCTAGTGTAGAAAAATCAAGGTCAATGCAAATCACTACGGGGCTCTTTGCACAAATCATTCAGTTTGATCCAGTTACCGAGATTTCTTCTCAGATGATCAGTGATTTTATTTAAAAAAAGATGTATCATATCACTGGAACAAAAATAAAGTTGATTTTGAGTTGTTGAAAAGTGCATCCAAAAGTTTAGGAAAGATTCTCAGACTAATATTATTTTTCCATGGAAATTTTCTGGTGCCATTTTGTTTCAAAATTTTTCCTCAAATTTTTCCTAAACTTTTGGAAGTACCCCTCTCCAAAAATAGAAAATCTTCTGGGCTACCAATTGTACTGGATACGCAAAAGCACCTTTCAGCAACTGAAAAACCAATTTTATTTTTCTTGTTCCGGTGATATGAATTTAGTCCTCACTAGATATTTTATGGAACTACAGACTTCTGGAAATTTTAAGATGGAAACCTTATATTTTGCTTATCTCGTCCTTCGCGAGAAGCATGTTATGATTATCGGTAGAAGGAGGACCATGCATATTGCAATAAATGATGAGTTTAGCTCAAACGGTCCTAAATAAATACGTAGACAAATCGAAACTCAGTGTATTAGATGGGTCTTGCCGAGATCTATTTTATGGTATAAGAAACACATTTTCAAAGGCTCATTTTAGTCAGCTTTTTTCAGATATACGCTCACGGATTTGATTATCGTTTTCAACATAGTTTCATTTATTGGAAAAAAGAAATGATTATAGTCGAGAAATTTCTTCGTACTACTATATTATAATTTTTGACATTTTTTCCATCTCAATGATACAATAAGATTGCAATTAGTCAAAAAAAAAGTCTATTTACATCAATGAAAAACATCGGCTTGTTGCAAATCAATCAAATGATCCTGTCACGCTCTACACGACATATACTTTTTCACACAGACACATCTTTAACTGAGAACGTTCAGTGGTAATACTAGTTTTACAAATTCGCTACGGTAAGCAAAAAATCGTCTGAATTTTTATAAAACTTATTTCAACTTTTATAACAATCAACGTTCGAGCGCATTTGGTTCTTATAAATATTTATTGATTTTTGAATGAAAAATCAAGGCACATTCATATTTCAAGAGACAAATGGACATAGTACTAATTATTCGAAAGTAATAAAAGATATTTAATCTTTATCAATGTAATTAATAATACGATATGCGAGTTAGAATTGATATGTTTGTCTGAATAGATAAATGCAGATGACCACGTGGATGAACAATATGGAGTGGACATAGTTCAATGACACAAGGAAAAAGGACTTTTCTATAAACTTCAAAAGTGTCTCTTTCATACGACATAGGTCAGAACTTTTTATGAAATCGTTTCTCGGAAAAGAACTAATTCATTTCTGTTGGATACACAGAAATTCAACGAATTTTATTTATTTATTGCTCCATAATAAAGTAATAAAATGTTTTACAATTAAAAGCGCAAATGAATGAGAAATTAATATATATATAAGCAAGCGCACAAATGATACATTTCTAATCGAAATGCCTAACTGAGTTTATTTCTGCATTGTTTCTTATGTGTTTACTATTCTTCATCACCACCTGCTCCAGCTCCTGTTGGTACACAACATCTTTTTCTTGATAATCCCAATCTTTTTGTACCACATAGAGGTGACTTCATACAAGTCAATCCAGCATTACAACCTCTTCTCAACGGATTTATGTTACTGCATGCTTTGTATGCGCCTTTCTTATTGAATAACGCCGCACTGAAAAATAGAAAAAACAAATAGATATTATACACACACAAAATATCATAAGACAAAGTATTTGTCATACATCTTAATTATCGCGATTAATGATGGATGTCTCAAATGTTCTAGTTCTAAATTACTGTCAACAGACACGCTGCGATACAGAAGAAAGTGTATTTTGTATACGAAGTGAAGGACTGTGTCTTCATTTGTGTGCAGCAAATGTCTCCTTATTTATCGACACTTCGAAAAATATGACTGTCTTTTCTCTCTCCTCGTTAATATAGCGGTATGTTCATACATTTGTGCTACATGATCCTCCACAAGTCCATCAGATATAGCTTTGCGAAATGGATTAGGATTTGATTCTGTCAGAAAGGCACATGTTTTCCAATTTTTGAGATAAAAAATTCTGTGTTAGTACTGGTCTAGAAGCGACAGTTCTTCTGTAGTTGTTATTGTATTATGACTAGGGGTGGCGCTTTACCGTTTCTTTACAGGTAACGCAGTAACGCATGTGTTATTGCGTTACTGCATGTGTTATTGCGTTACTGGTAATGAGTAACGCATGCGTTACCAGTAACTGCTAACGAGATGCGTTTATTTTTCATAGCTTTTGTAGCGAGTAACGCAGCGTTACTTGCGTTACTTTAACGCTTTTTTGCGTTACTTTTCTAGTAACGCAATAACGCATGCGTTACTCGTTACCAGTAACGCATAATATAGTAACGCTTTAGTCGCATTGTGTCCGGAAGGTGATAAAACAA